AACGATAAAAATTCGTCCACGACAGATAGTCGTGATATGGGAACAGGCTAGACACGACAGTCGTTCAACGATAATAAAACGTGACGACATAGTGGGAACGCGCCCTTATAACAAGTGTTGTAATTACGCTAAGTTGAAAGGGCATAAGTGGTTACTTGTGCCCATCGTACTTAGTATTGAATATTTATCGAACGTTTTTTTACTAATTTTGAAAATGAAAACGGGCAATAATTAAATAATAAAGCATAAGTAATGAAAAAAAAATTAATTCCATGTTTTGCGAATAATATAGATTGATCTTACTGCGTTTGCTGAAAGTGTCTCGTTTTTTCGTTTGGAGATATTTTTTTATTTCATTCCTTGAAACATTATTTTCTCGGTTTTGAGTTTTTGCCACAAGCGCCCTTTCAACTATCGGCGGCGGTGTTATTTGCTTACCTATGGAACAAAGATTATTCATTTTGGCTTTGCCCTTGACCTTACCTTCGACGTTGACTGCCACTTGAGCATTTGGCTTGCCTTAAAATTAAATTATTGAAGAAAACTTAATATTTAAGATCTGACAGTATGGCGTAGACGCCTTAGTTTGTCCCGAAAGACGAAACACTTTACTACTACTATTCAATTACTGCATAATTATTTGATTTTTAATTCGGGTGTTAATCACGTATAAAACATATTTTAGTTACCTCGACGTTTCGGACGTATTACAACGTCTATGGTGTCGAAGGTACCGAAAAGACTAAATTGTCATTTGTATAATTGCACATATTTTTTGCCCAATTTGTATTTGTGTGGGTTGTATTTCCATATTAAGTAACACACACACCGAATTAAAAACGACTTAGTACAGTCTTACTCAAACTTTATTAAAAAATCGAAATTAAACATTTTTTTTTACTTTGTGACAAAACAGAAATGGCTGAAAATTTAAAAATTATAACAATTTGTGCCGTTGTGTGAATGTTTGCTTCTTTTCAATAAGGATGTTATGGCAATCTTTATAAATTGGTATGTATTTTTTGAATGAATACAGATTGAGTTCGGTTATCGATCTCCTCCAACGATTTCATATGTACTTCGGAAGTTATTCTTAGTGTTGAAAAAATATGCGTGGGTTCGGAAAACAAAGTTATTGTGTTAGTTTCAAAATTATTTTTGCCTACAGCACCCTGTATTACCGTATAAAGATGTTTGGAATTTGCCGCGTTTTTTCTATTATAGTTGTTGTTGTTGTTGTTGTGAACTGGCAACCGGTACAATCTCAATTTTGACAAATTTACATTAACTTTACAGGTGAAGAAAAATATTGTTTGCATATTTATATACCCTCTGGATTATTAAATAAAAATACGTAGTGTATGTTGTTAATTAAAACAGCACGTATTACTTGTGACGGCCATTTATTGACTGGCTACAGAGAGATGGAACTATCAACATATTCATATACATTAAATGTGAAATTAATAATATAACGCCTTCTTCCCCTAATACATAATCTATATTTAAAGTACATTTTTTACACCATTTATAAGTAATGACTCTTACTTCGTCCTTTCTTTTAAAAACAGTATAAAAATTAAAATGTAATCTAATAGGCACGTAATACTTTTTCCCTACAAATGTTAGGAATAACTACTCGATGGCCTAACACACCCTAACTCTAAGTAAAGTTCTGTTCTCCTATTAAAATACGGTTTTAATTCTTTAGTGTCGACCTCATGTGGCCAACCATCCTTTATGTAACTTATCACACGACTAAGTAGTGGGTCCCGCATGTCTCTTTATTCAACACATTATAATCTAATAAAAGCGATTCTGTAGCAAAATGCAGGTATGTCTGTTCGGGACATTCATCTTTTTCCCCAGCCCTGTTTTCTTTATATGCGGCGATCATCCTCGATAAAGCGTCGGCAGTATTGCGGTCTGTTTTTACGTACGAGTGTAAAATTATACGCTGACATTATTAAAGCCCAGCGCTGAAGCCGGCTTGCTGTCATACTCGGTATCGCCGCGCCTGGACTAAAAATACTCAACAAGGGTTTGCGATCAGTTTTTAAGTGAAACTGACGGCTAAACAAATACTGATGGAATTTTTTTACCGCAAGATGATCGCCAGAACTTCTTTGTCTATCTGACTATAATTAACTTCTGCGTGTGTGAGTGTCCGCGAGGCATACGCCACCGGGCGCTCGCGGCCTTCCACGTCCAGCTGCGCCAGCACGGCGCCCAGCCCGTGCGCACTCGCGTCTCACGTCAGTACCAGCGGCCGCGACGCGTCAAAGTGCGCCAGCACTTCTATGCTGCTTAACAATTTTTTTATTTGATTGAAGGCTCTGTCTTCGACCCTGCCCCATTTCCATTCTTTATCTTTCTTCATTAGGGCGTTAAGTGGAGCTATGTGACTACTTAAATTTCTAACAAATCTGCCATAAAAATTTGCCATTCCTAGAAATGACCATAGTTCTGATAAATTTTTCGGACTCATCATCTGTAAAATCGGTTTAATTTTCTCTTCATCAGTCAGTTATACCCTTTTTATTTATCACATACCCTAAATATTTTACTTCCTCAGAGAAAGTCCTTTTAATTTATTTAATACACTATTCAATGCTATCAAATGATTTTCAAAAGTAGCCCCAAATACCAATATATCATCTAAGAATATAATAACTTTAGGAATATTGCCCAGTAATTCTGTCATTATTCTTTGAAAAATACCTGGGCTTGACGCCAATCCATGTACCAACCTGTTATACATGAAAAGCCCCCGGTGGGTATTAATAACTGTATAACGTTTAGTTTTCATCTAGTTCTACCTGATTAAAGGCCTGGTACAAATCTAACTTGCTAAAATACCTACTTCCACTTATTTTAGAAAACAAGTCCTCTATTCTAGGCACTGGATATTTATCGACCTGTAAAACCCTATTCAATGTAATCTTAAAATCAGCGCAAATGCGAATACCTCCATCCGCTTTCGCCACTATGACCAGTGGAGTAGCCCAGTCGGAGCAGTCGATGGGCTCGATGACGCCGGCGCGTAACATCTCATCCAGCTCAGCGTCGATACGCGGACGCAGCGCGTACGACAACGGCCGCGCCCGGCAGAAAACCTTTCCGCTTCGGGACGCACACGCAGCGTGGCCCGCCCGCCGGTATATGGCCCCAGCCCGCCATTGAATAATTCCTTATATCTAGAAGACAAGTTATTTTTCTGAATCATTGCTTCACTCTCACTATTTAAGTTATTTATCGCAAATTTAGGCACATCAATGTTTAATTCTGCCAACCACTGGCGACCCAATAATGTAGTTGTACCCTTTTTAATTGCATATAGATCTAGTACTTTAATTATATTGTTATATTTTACTTCCACTTCTATGTACCCGGCCGGCTTAATTTTGCTGCCATCGTAAATTGATAAAACCAAACCACAGGGTTTTAGAGGGAAATGATTGAATTTATCATTATATAATTGTTCACTTATGCATGACAAGGCTGAGCCTGCATCGATTTCCATTTTTAAAAGTTTATCATCCACAATAAGTGTCATACTGACCGGTTGATACTCCTTTAGGGACATTTGCATAATTGGTTCATCATCCTCCCAAAACGATCTCTCACTCTCTAACTGGCGTGCCCCATCTTCATTATCTTCATGCACGTAGTGCGTCCGTTGTTCATTCCACTGATGTCGATGATCTCCGCATGCTGTACAGTCACGGTTCAAATGCACTCGATGCACAGTCTCGTCGATATGGTTGATGCCACCACCGCTGCCCATACTGTCCCTGTAGCCGGTGCATCGTCGTGTATCCGTGACCACTGCCACAGCCGCCGCTTCTCACTGCCTGCATGCTAAGCGAATCACGTTCTGCCGCCTCACATGATTTTGCGACTGCTACCGCCTTTTCAAAGTGTATTTTTTCATCTTCCATAAAAAGTTTTTGCCGAATGCCTTCTTTATACGCTCCACACATAAATTGATCACGCATATTTTCATTCGAACTTTTACCGAATTGACAAAATCTTGACATTTTCTTCAAAACCAATACATATTCTGAAATAGTTTGCCCCTCCGTTTGTCTACACTGCCGAAAACGGTAACGCTCTGCGTACATAGACGATTTCTTTAATATCCTCATATTTCATATCTGCCGGTTTACTCGGATTGCACAAATTTGCCATCAGTTCATAACCAACTTCGCCGATAACTGATATTAACTTTGGAACTTTTAAATCATTTTCCACTTTCTTCACTAAGAAATGCATTTCTAGCCGGTCACAATACAAGTCCTAATTTCCGTTCTCCACACTAAATTCTCCTATTTTATCCGACAACGCCATCATACACTGTTATTATGCAAAAATATAAACAAACACACCCAAAAAAAAATACAAATAATTATCCTAGGAATCCCATCCTTGTCGCCACTGTTAATTAAAACAATACGTATTACTTGTGACCGCCATTTAATGATTGGCTACAGAGAGATGGAACTACCTACATATTCATATACATAAAATGTGAAATTACCCTTTTAATAAATCAGATGCTATATAAATAACGCAAACAATTTTTTTCTTCACTTGTAAACCTGTAAAGTCAATGTAAATTTGTCAAAATTGAGATAGTACCAGTTGCCAGTTTACGATCGATTTTAACATATATACGGCATGTTTTTTGCGTATGCATTTAAATAAATGTACGCATACCGACGCTGGAATCAGAAAAGTGTTTACGAGATGTACCTATGATGCACATGCAATGCCTATTGCACAACTGTGTCATAGAATGGCACCCCCACTTACTACTATGCGACTCGTCATGGCAGCTCAGATATGCATTATGTAAAATACTTATTAGTCGAAAAGTAGATGTTGTACGGAACCATTCTTGGTTAATTTAAGCTTATGCTTAAAATTAATTCGCACGGTTACTTTGCTAGATAAGGTACTAATACCATTCCAACTCACGGACACATGCTGTAGTGTCGATCAGGCGGTTGTCAGCATCGCGCCTGTTCACGATGGCGGTCCTCGTAATTGTTATCATAATCGCTATCGCCTTTGTTATAAGGTTCTATGAGAAAAGTACAAATGCCATATGCCAATCTCAGAAGAAGCTCGACGGGAGAGTTGCTATAGTGACTGGAGGAACATGCGGGATGGGACTGGAAATCGCCAAAGAATTTGCGCGTCGTGGAGCTAAGGTTATAATCGCTTGTCCTTTTAACGAAGAAGGAATTAACGCGAGGAAGGAAATCATTGAACTAACTGGAAATAACGATATTGTCTTCAAACTTATGGACCTATCATCTATAGATTCAGTTAAAAAATTCGCTGCAGGCATTTTAAAATCTGAAGATAGACTTGACATCTTGGTCAACAACGCTGGTGTTGGTGTCCCCAACGACTTCACTACTGCTGACGGAATGAGTTTCATCATGCAAGTAAATTATTTTGGACATTTTCTACTATCTCTTCTGCTACTTCCGTTGCTGATGAAGACAGGAAAATCATCAGATCCAGCGAGGATAGTAAACACTTCATCAGTCATGCATCATTTTGGTATGGTCGACATGGATACATTGAATAAAACCGACTATTGGATAAAAAGTCTAATTTATTCCAAAAGCAAGATATGCTTAGTGTTATTTGCTCATGAGTTCACGAAAAGACTGAAAGGATACAATGTGGTTATAAATAGTGTTGACCCTGGAGCTGTCGGAACTGGAATTTTCAACAGTGCTGGTAAATTACGTGGTATGTTACTAAAGTTTTTGTGCCTCTATTTGTACAAGACTCCTTACGAAGGTGCTCAGACTGCGATTCACGTGGCGTTAGACCAGGAAGCGGGATCAGTTAGTGGACATTTTTTCAAGAACTGTAAAAAGACTCGAGCTGTTTTTTGGGCATACAATAACAAGGTCGCGAGACAACTTTTCGAGGAATCTGTGAGACTTGTAAAGTTAAATCAGGAAGATGTTGATAATTGTTTCAAATCTTTGTGAAGTGTATTGCGTAGGAAGTATAAAAATGGTGTTTGTGATAATTAATAACCGTTATATTTATTCTATAGTTTGCGTCATTTATCTGATTCATTGGCCCGACTTTCATACCGAAGGCACAATTCGACAGCGACCAATGATCGATTCCTATGAATCTGTCTCAATTTTGTCGTCGCTTAATATAATCAAAGCCAACGACAGAAATAATGCGAAATTGAGGTTAATCACTCTGTGAATGTATGTGTTGTTTATATCACATTGTTGTTGTTATTATATCATAATAAATTATAATTATTTATTATTAATTTATTGTCATTTTAATGATCTGTTTGTGCATAAATGGAAAATTTTCAAATATTATGGTATGATTTACGTTACAATAACATACTAATTCATATTAAAACTAATATTTAAAACCTAGTGGGTAATAAGTTTACTATAATTCTGTTTTTTTATCTATATATCAAGTTCCATTTTTATTTTCATAAATAAAACTATGGTACTATATAAAAATTAAACTTATGTCTGTTTGTTTTTACTTACTTGTCACACCAGGAGCTCGTCACCTGTCGGCTAGCTTAATTTACATAATTTATGAAACATTACAAATCGGGGTAGGTACGCTTGCGTTCGGTCGAGTTTCGGAAATATTTACTTCTTCGATTGTTTGTGTAAAAAGAATGTCTCTTGATTTATCGAGTCAGCGCGACAAAATCTAAACCCAGTCGCCCGTGAAGGGTAGACGCAATACATGTTTCAATTTTGGTGTTGTTAATTTGTTTTATTAATATTGGTGTTGATTTGTTTTTTGTTAGTGTTTGTTATTTTTTTAGAAATAATATTTTTTCGACTTTTAGGTTTGGTGACTCGGATCACATATCGAAAGTGGCCGTTTCGCTTTGAATTTGTATCATTACTTTCTTTATTATATTCTTTGAAGTAAAGCAAAGCATTTTTAATTAATATGTCTTATTAATATTAAAGCATTTCATGGAATACACTTTTAACCACGATTCGTGTAAGAAATAATATCCTTAACTTTCTGAAATCATTGGATAGGAAGCGTTAATATATATGTTTGGCATTTGGAAATCAATTTATCAGCAAGATTATTTAATAAGAAATGAATATAAATTATTATAAAACATAAATCAGTAATTTTATTGCTAGTTGCGTAGGTGTTACGCTCCAATTACAGTCCTGAGTTTCCTTTTCACAACTGACCTATGTACACGCAACGTTTCGAAACTTCCAGGGCCTTTTACTTTTAATCGATGTTCAACCCATTATCACTCAGTGTTCACATATTATTGAGATTTCTTAGTGAAATAATTTCACTAGTTTTATTATTATATCTATTTTAGTTCGCCTCTCCCAAGGCCTAAAATATAATTTTGAATTTTTTATTTGTTATTATTATTAATATAAAGATTGAAGACATTGAAATTTCTTCGATAAAATATAATAAGAAAATCTTATACAGAATTCCAATAAAAAAAAATAAAAAAATAGGTACCATGTCATGCGCAATTGTACTAAAAATAATCTAGGATGATTCCTGTGACATTTCACAAAAATCTACACAACATAACCTTGTAACGACATGCACTAAACTTTGAAATGAATAAATACCCTTTGTTTGATTAAGCACATTAAATTAGAGTAAAAATGAGCGGATTTTTTTTTTCAAAAATGGCATTCATGTAGAATATTTTTTGTTTTTAAAATAGATGCTTGAAAGCAATGTTGGATGACGATGTTAACCAATACGTTTTATATCGAGAGGTAGGTGTTTATGGAGTAATCTGAATACAGAGCACTAAAAAAGCCGACCTCTAAAGTTCGTGAGAATCTAATCTATTGCCAAGTTTTATTGACATCGGTTACCGGAAAGTACCCTTAAAGGTGGGATATTTTCTTCAAATTTAAATAGGACCAATACCGAGGTAACCTTTTTCCAACAAAAAAAGAATCATCAAAGTCGGTTCACAAATGCCGAGTTATATACATATATATACAGAAAAATAATAGTCGAATTGAGAACCTCCTCTTTTTTTGAAGTCGGTTAAAAACTTAATTGTAGTTTATATGTAATATTGTTCTGTGTATGGTCCCCTGTGCATATTACTCTGTGAATGCATGGGTGATAAAAATAAAGAGAAGTCATTCCGCCATCTCCGTTCAACGAAAGAGGGAGTAGACGTACGCCGTAACCCTAGTTCCGCCCTTATGATGTCGCTTACCACCAGGCGCACGACTTGCTCGTCCAGTCACTTGGTATTATAAAAAAAGCTTGAAATTAACGAATCCATAGATAGCGTTGGGTAATTTTCGGAAAAATTTTATATAGTGTATAAATTTTTCAGGAAAAGCCTCTGAAATATTGGAAAAATATAATTCCAATTCTCATAGTATATTCAACGTCTAAATATATCTTTTAATGTTTTATTTAGGATAAATTACAAAATAAAATTGTATGAACATTGCTGAATGCATAATTTACTAAGCCCTCCATGCCTCCTTAGTTTATTTCCACAAATTCTCATAATACAGACAGTGCCCTGTCTAATGTGGAAAAATATTCAGAAAGTATTTTACTTTTTCGATAAATATGATTTTTCAAAATGGAAATTTTTCCTTGACCCAACACTATACATACGCATTTAGTAGCTATAGAGCTCCTCGTGAAAGATTTCGTCCAGGGAAGTAATGCCACCTTACCTATTTATGCCGCCAAGCAGTAATGTCAGCATTACTGTGTTACGGTTTTGAAGGGCAAGGGTGCTGGTGAAATTACAGGCACATGGGACTTGTCAACTTACGTCTCAGGGTAACGGGCGTAGTGGCAGATCCTTGCGATTTAAAACTCCGAGTGCTCTGCAACTGATATGGATAGGCGTGTAGCTTTCCATCAAGCGCACGGCTGGTTTGTCCCGTCACTTGATATTATAAAAAAAACGAGTAGATATGACGACTGGGCGACACTTTAAAATTTTCAAGTTTCTAACAATTCTGTTTCCCACGTTCCAGCCCGCCAAGGTAGCCCAGTCTCTGCTGCTCTTCTGCCAAGGCCAAGGCCTGCTGACCTCTCTGCCGCCACCCGGAGTGGAGCGCCGCATGTCGCGCGCCATGTCCATGGAGGAGTACGACAAGCCCAACATCCGCCGGCTTTCGCTCACGCCCAACTCGTCCGAGTCGCCGCCGCCGAGGAAAGTGTAGGTGACAGGACTCGCCGCGCTCTGTGTCCCAGAGTAGACGGCGGGTGTGATAACGGTTGGGTCGCTCTACATGTGAAACGGTTCTTATGTTATGCTTACTTTAAGATTAATTAGATTTCGGCGCTTTCTACTTCCTGCTGGCCGTCAAAAAGGTTTATAATAACATTGGAAGAAACTACTGCAATTTTAAAAATGCTTTTGTGGAATATACTATATATATTTTGGGGACACACATAGAAAATAGTCCGGCTAGACGGCAAGTAATTGTCGTTGTGAGACACACAGAAAAATGGTGGGGCTAGACTGCTAATTAAAAGATTCAGGCGTTACTTGCGGAAGTCCATAGTAATAAAAATGGCAATAAATTAATTTGCTAGTCCGCGAAACCGGTGAAGTTTAAATATTATAAGTTGTTGCGCTTGTTGAATAATCTTTCTTTTGAATTTTTTTTGTATATTTTTTATTTTATTTTTGTTTTCTTCGGCCGAGGTTCGTACAATCAACAACCCCTGAGGATGCCTCGTAGAGAGGCGAAACACGGGTCGGGTATATTTTTGGTGTCTATGACTGCACCTGACATTTATTTTATTAATTTTATGCAGGGGAAGGGTGTGAAAGTTAACTGCTTCAAAAAAATATTCAACACGATTAACATTCACCGGGTTCGTGGAGGAGCAAATTTACTTCCATTTTTACTGCAAATAATTGTTGTTGTGGGACACACAGAAAATAGCGGGGCTAGACTGCAAAGAGTTATCGCAGTGGGATACACAGAAAATAGTGGGGATGGACTGCAAAAAATTGTTGTTGTGGGACACACGGAAAACAGTAGAGCTACACTGAAAAGAACTGTTGTTGTTGACTATCAGATAATAGTGTAGTTAGATAATGGCTCTTATGGCTAATAGTCTCTTCCTCGAAAAGACATGCGTTTTGACTCAATTCTTAGTTGTGTTATATATTCAATTTATAATTGTAGAAGCGGCTTCTGGTGACGGTCAATAAATTCTTAGTAATTGTTAAGACACAACACAATAAAATTAATAGGGGAGATAAACACTACCAATTTACGGTTTTATTATCTTTTTATTCTTAGAAATACAACGGTTATCAAATTACAAGGTATGGGAAAGGAAAACCATTGTTTTCTATATTAATAATTAGTAATTTACAATATTATTATGATGCAGTCGTCATGAAAATTACGTGAATGTCACACAACGAATAGAGGCTGAAAATTATTGACTCTTAGTTATTACATAACAAATAGAAAATGTAAAACACTGAAATTAAATTCTTGTGAACAAAGTATTTGATTCATAGAGTTAAAAAAAGCCTTGGTAGATGGTTTGACCACCTCTCTAGCAGAGACCGTGGGTTTAAATCCGGACTCGCAACTCGTGAGTTTGTCGTAATTTATGAGGGAAATTTAATTTGAAATGCACTATAAGCTTCTCGGTGAAGAAAAACATTGTGTTGAAACATACATATATGTCAAATCTCGGAAAACGTGTTAAGTCGCCAACCCGCATTTTCCCAGCGTGGCGGACTATGGCCTAAACGACACGTATAAATAAGTTAATGATGATGATATAGAGTTCATTTTACTTTGAAAGTAATTGTTATAATGAGCCAGACAGCCCCGTCAATTATTTGATCTCTAAACAATGGAATTCACTCCGTGGCACACAGATCAGAATCAATTACCTCCGTGGCCGAATGATTACTACGATTTGGTTCGATTCCCGGGTTATATTTGTGTGAACTACATTTATTTCTCTCGAGTTTGGGTGTAATTTGTGGTTGTCTACCTATGTATGTGTCCATGACACCCGCGACACAAGGTTTGCCTAGAGCGGGAAAGGGTTTCCCTAGCGTGTGCGTAAAAAAAATTATAAAAGTAAATTTTTCAAATTGGTCTTACCGGGAATGGAACACGGGTTCTCCTCAGCCAGCGTTCAAAGTCCAAACCGTTAGGTAACGGAGCTCAATTGTACTGGAATTTTCTTTTTGAGATAGTAATAGATCCAATCTAACTTTGTTCTACGGGGAATGAATTTTTCCACTAATTCTATTATTATTATTGAAATATAATTGAATAGACCAAATGCGACAAAAAAGTCGCAATAGTTCTATAGGCCTACTCAAGAGAACTAGTTGGAACGAAGCTTTTCTGTAACTGTGATTTCACATATTATACTGGTACTCGGGTACACATGTTCGTTACTTATTAAGTTATTATTCGCTTAATGCACAAGTTAACCACTTGTCTAACACTGTTATTAGGTGCATTTCAATTCCTTGACTAAAATGTATCATTATCTTAGTAAATTATATTACGACATTAACTTTGAAAGAAACTTCCTGTAAATTATCAAAGGGTACATTATATAAGGTTTTCCAATAAGAACTTTGTTTTGTAAATCAAAATAAAACAATAAATTTAGATGGCAATGATTCAAAGTTTTATTGTTTAAAAAAAGTAAGGTTTGGCAATTATGAATAAAAAATGATATCTGATAAATGTCCATCACGGCCACAGTTACAGATGTCGATTCTTTCATCAAAAGTTTTTAATCACTTTTTTGGTGGGTCTACTTCGTTAATCACTTCACGAATGTTGAGTTTTAAGGCTGCAATCGATTCAATTGGCTCCGTATAGACTCGTCTTTAATATAACTCCATAAAAAAGAATCCAGCGGTGTTAAATCACATGATCGGGCTGGCCACTTAACGGCTGAACTTCGTGAAATTATGCGACCGGGAAACTTGGTTTGCAATAAATTCATTGTTTCGGTGGCTTGTGCCGTTGTTTGAAAGAATCGACATCTATGACTGTTCGTGGTGGACATTTATCAGATATTATTTTTCATTCATAATCGTCAAACCATACTTTTTTTAACACTATAAAAATTTGAATAATTGTCATCTAAATTTATTGTTTTATTTTGATTTACAAAACAAAGTTCTTGTTACAAAACCCTTTACATACTGCACTGGTGGATAACGTGGCAACGTGGCAAGTATTTTTTTTGGACGTACACATCTATAACTTAATTTTTCCTATTGGGTTGCTGGGTACATGATTGTTTTTTTTTTAAATCGCTGGCTTTGCAAAATGCATTTTGGGTTCAAAAAATTATTTATAAATTGTATAATAAAAGGGAGATACCAGCGCCATCTATTGATTAACGACGTCCACGTTCATGGATATGCAAAGTAAAAATGGTCACAGTGATTAGACCGTATATTTACTTATATTTGTTCGTTTACAGTAAAGTCAAAGAAAATTTGTGACATTTCGGACCATCATTTTTCGGATTCGGAACTGATACGAAGCTTATTTTTTTTTAAATATTTCGTTCTATCCCCCCGATATTTATTATTCGGGGTCAACTGATACGAGTCGGACGTAGTGAACAAACGCTCTTAAACCAAGAAATTTGTATTTCACATTCAAAGTGGTACTATACGTTGGAAGATGCTCAAATAAAGGAAAATTTAATTAAAATTAACTTATTATGTACTTTTAATTGTCGTTATAAAAATATATTTTTGTCGGCATGAAAGAGAAGTTGATTGGTTGGCGTCTTTTATGAAATTATTTAAACTGCCCGATATGCCAACCTAACCGTTTCACATTGTAGAGTTACTACTATCTCTCGATAATCTTCTGTTTCCTATCACGCGATTCACATTAGAATTTTACCAAAGGTTAAAATATCAGGCTATGTAGCGTCTGAAAAGAGTCCCATTGGCAAATATTTTATAAGTGTTCCATCTCGCTTTATACATATAGGATAGTACTATATGTAATTTCACAAAATGTAAAGGACCAAAACCTAATGATTTCAAGAGCCTATTGTATGCTAAATAAGCTGAACTAGCAATCCATATAAACGCCAAAGTGTGATAGTAAGGGAAGCCTTGAAATCGTTTGAAAATAAAATAATAACCCGCGTCTATTATCTGAATTGTAAAATTAAACAAAAAAAAACTGGGCTCAAACATTTCAAATGAAAGGTTGAAGTAAATCACAAATAAACATCATTACTTCAATGCAGTAATATGCCTTTGGCATAGTGACATCAGCGGAGTACTTGGTACTTGGTGTAACGGGCTGGTGTCCGCAACTCGACGACAAGGCGCCTATTTTGCGTGTGGATCAGCGGAGTATATTATACTAAACGTTAGGTTCACCATTTAGATCATTTTGATGGAACTTTGACAAATAATGATGACCAGACAAGCGAAACGATGGATCATCGAATGATATTTACTTACCGTTAAGTAAAAACGGGAATTAGGCTCTTGAAATAGAGGAAATCGGCACAGTTTTGTAGAAATCAAAAATGTTCAGAGTATACCTATTTACTATTTTTAAGAAATAAAATTTATAAAACGGTGTAGCCGGTTTGCTTTCTGGGACCGTTTACAGAATTGATATTTTGAAAGAAGGATTCTTGGCAAATGTTTATTACATATTACATGAGAAAAAACAAAAGTAAAGAAATTGCTTACGCAACTTTAAAACTGACTCCTGCCACAATGGTAAGTGCTGTAAGCAGAGCCCAAAATTGCCACAAGGGGATGTACGTTCTCGGTTGAGGATAGAAAGCAAACCGCTAGACTGTCAGATTTTGGAACTAATATTGAATGAAGCTATTTGTGTCAAAGTTGTTGTGTTGTGAGCTGAAGCTGATGGCTTGTTAGGGCACACGATCGCATTTTTAGCTGGAATCTACAATTCTCCCAAAAAAAAACCCGATCCATTATTCGGCAACTAAATTAAGGTACCTTCTAGTTATCTGTTAGTTGACTATTTTTAGCTTTTAATTAATAGCTTAAGGTTATCTTCTTGCAAAACGTTAAATTCAACAGGTCTGTGGTTAGAGCAGCATTTAGAAACATCGGTTACAACTGCCGACGCCTGCCTGTTGAGCCTAAGTATTTTGGTTTATAGTGTAAAATTTGTAGGTATCGTGTGCCGCTTTAACTACATGTGGCATGCATTTCGGTCTAGGAAAAGGGGCCGTTTATTGGTCATATTAGCACGTCATACTGATATGATTTTAACACCTTGTAAGCAAGAAAGGCCAAGCCAAAGAGATCTGCGTCGGATTCTTTTTGGTAAATTCAATAAAAGCTTTGTTTTGTATTTTGAGCGAGATTGTACTTTGTTATTTAAGTAGAGTATATTTGCCTACAGGCTGTTTGTTTAATGTTGATTAAGTATGACCACCAATACAAACAATTTCTTATTGGTCATCAGTAGGACATGCTAGCATGGCCACCAATGAACGGCCGCAAAAGCAAAATATTGTATTGTGCACGAACAGATTGCATAGATTTTATCATATATTATATTTGTAATCTTTTATAGCGATTGCTCTTTAGTATTTACCATAATGTAGGAAATTTGAAATAGGTATGATTATTTCTAATTATTTTTGTAAATTATGTAAAGTATGTTCTAAACTCTATGGATGTTTTATGTTCAGTACGTTTCGAGGACTTTCATGTACAAAGTTAGGTAATTTTAAGTGCAATATGTTTTAAAAAATATAATATCGTTAATATTAAAGAGAGTTTTTTTTTCCATGATTATATCAACGTTGTGTTTAAAAAGTAAAAACCGAGAGTGGAAGATGAACTGTACATTTTATTAAACAGACATAAGTGGACATTTAAGGTTTTCACGACATAAAACGGACTTGCACAAAACGACACACGATTACACTTAAAATAACACCGCGTCTCACCGCACTCTACCTACGGTCGCTACAAACGCTTGAATCTACAAAACACATTTTGTAAACTGTATATAAAAATAAAACTGAACCAAGCGTTTCTCCTTCCAGTATTTGCTAAAATTCAATTTAAAAAAGTTCCTCCAAAAAGTAAAAAACGTCGCAAGACTGCCCGAAGGAGAAACAAAGGAGAACGACGAGGGAGTTACACTCTGTGCACGTCGTCTCAAACCAGTATCCGACCTCAGCGGACCTTTTCGAACCTTTAAAAATTTTCGCAGTTCTGCCATATTCAATATTATAAAAAAATGCAGCCGCGGTTTTGTGGCGTCCGCCTCGGCCGCCATTATGGGCCGCGCAATGGCGCCATCTGTGTCGAGATCTCCGTAAAAAAAACTTTGGCACTCACTTTCAAATGTCGCACGGAACACTAAGGGGGAGGGAAACGGTGAATGCCGTCACTCAAATATCGTCAACAACATTGCACGTGTAGATCATTGAAACCCCGTGGTGTAACTTGGATTGGGCGCTGTGCGCGGTATTGGCGCTGGCGATAAGCGGGAAGGATGCGGAGAGCATGGTGTGACGTCACAGTTCCGCGTCCGTGACGCCACGTAGACGTCACAGCTCGTCGTCTCCGGGATGCATATCCGACGTTTCGATGGCCACCTCGTCGTAGTCCCTCTCCAGCGCTGCGAGGTCTTCACGAGCTTCTGAGAACTCACCTTCTTCCATACCCTCTCCAACATACCTAGAAAAGAAATTAGTAGTATATAATTATAATCTCATAGAAATAATTTCGGAACTCCGCCTTTTCGAACGCTTATCTTGATTCTTATCGCTGATCAAATAGATGGCGCTAAGTAAACCCGCGATGCGATTGTAATAATATTCGAAAACGCCAACAGATGGCAGTTATTGCATATTTCCCTGCCAAATATAATATTTGGCAACACTTAACTTAACACTTATATATTTATGTGTGCCTCGCCTGAACAAGTGCAATATTATTGCACTTGTTCAGGCGTTGATTATATGCAATAACATCAACACTAATCCGTATGATGGTTCTGGTGGAGTAATGAAGTTATGTACTAACCAGTGCACAAATGCTCTCTTGGAGTACATGAGGTCAAATTTGTGGTCGAGCTTGCCCCAGGCCTCGGCGATGGCGGTGGTGTTGCTGAGCATCGAAGCGGCGCGTTTCACTTGCGCCAGATCCCCGCCCGCCACCACTGACGGCGGCTGGTAGTTTATGCCCACCTGTAGATGAGGAAGCTGTTAGTCATGTTGGTTAGGGTTAGATTGGCTAGGTGGGCTTCGGTGGTCCAGCACTGCTGGTGCTAGAGAGGAACGGATCCCGTTCCGATTCGTAAGAATGAATTTTTACTAAATTTGTCCTAGTCACCCAGACTTCTGGAGTTATTTTCCTTGATCTGGTACGCACAGTATACAGGGTTTTCTATAAAAAAAAGTATGGAGCAATTAATGTTTAAAATGGAATAAATAAAATCTTGCTCCAGAAAATGTATTCACCAAAACGAAGCCTTACTTTCTCAAACTCGTATCTTATAAAGAGTGATTTTTCAGGAGATGGCAAAACCTTCCATTTATTTTAAATTTCTTATCAAGGGTGTTAATTTGGGTGCATTACTTTAAGAACAGATAAAAGCCAGTGTGTGAATATCATTGAGTTACAATTATATGGACGTCGGGTCCGCGCTAAAAAGTGTCCGAACTTATAGGGCGTTAAAATCGTACACAGAGCGTCATTCACGCTTTAGTCTTCGTTTGTTCGACTGACAGTGACAGCGAAACACGCAAAATTAGACAGTACTGCGATGACATTACAATTTAAATTCAACGTTTTAGCTTTTTCATATTCCTTTACAAGTCACTACGTTTAAATAGGTTGACTTAGGACATTTTTTTCGTGGTTTTTGTATTAGACCCGTCGTCCATTTATTTGTAAGTCAATGTTTAAGATAGGAGTTTAAGAAAGTAAAGCGACGAAATACTGTTGTCGATGCTATCGAAGGTTTAGGATCAGAAACAAGGTTTGAAGCAAATTGATACACGTTATGATACTTTAGCCAATGATACAATGATATTTGCGAATGATTTTCATCCTTACCTTGAACCCGGTAGGACACCAATCCACGAATCTGATGCCAGCCCTGCCTTTCATAGCGGCGATGGCGGCGTTCACGTCTTTAGGCACCACGTCGCCTCGGTACAGCAGGCAGCACGCCATGTACTTGCCGTCGCGAGGGTCGCACTTCACCATCTGGTTCTGTGGCTCGAACAGTTCTGCCGTGATTTCTGATACTGACATGCCTTCGTGGTAAGCCTGCAAAACAGGAACAACATAAAGTCAAGTCCTTACTACCAGGTGTAAAATGCTTCTATCTTGATATTTAAGACCCACGCTTTTATGGGGTGGAGTAGCAAATAGCGCCTTAATTTGCTCCTGATACGACAACTTTTTCTGACTATATCAGTTTTATTCTTTTCATCCATATAACTTCGTTGTATCATATGACTATAGTATCGTATTAGACGTCTTTCCCCTTCGATTTTCTGTCTTCAATAAGCTTCTCTTTTCCTGCACTATTAGGTCTGTCCAATTGATTACAACTAAAATCCATAATCTAAGAGGGTCGGTATCATAATGACCATATCTTTAAAATTACCTCATCAGCATAAGGACTAGATCGTAAAACGACCACCTTTGCAGAAAGACTTGCAATGACTTGGTAGCAAAATGACTAGGTATCGAAATGAAAATAAAGTTCAAAGTGGAACAAACTTCACTGTATGGGTACTTCCTGTGTACCATTTAAAAGCAAAAAGTTTTTATCGTATATTTTACAAATAGACACGAATATATACTTGCCACTTGAAATCTAGGTATCACTATTTGTGACGTTTAATGATCAATTCTTAAAGTGTATCATCGTTTTGTAATCGCTGCTATTGCAATCGTATTTGAAGTATATAAGAAAATGGACGCAATACATACAAAAATTACAGTTTTGTTCTCTAAAATCTAGTTATTATGCTACCTTGTCGCTTTACCATGTGGTCCATTAACTCAAACTCACTTTATTTCATAGGTAAGCATTATTACACTTGAAATCGTCACAATGGTTAAACTCTACCGCTAACGATACAGTTATTACGATATCTAGTCGATCTGCTACCAAGTCATAGTAAGTTATAGTATTTCTGCAGAGGCGGTCGTTTTGCGATCTATTCCTTGTGCTGATCAGGGCATTTTGAAGATATAGTCATTATGATAGCGACCAATTTAAAAATAGGTGAGCAGTTACACTAAGAATATATCTAAAGATTGTTAAGAGCAGGTTGACGTTGGGGTTTTCTATTTTATTATAGATAAGTATAAAAATAAATGGTCATCACACTCTCCAACAGCGTTCGGTCCGTATTAGTTCCCGAGTTCCGAGGCAAGTACTCACTTTATTGAGGTATTGCGCACTAAATTCCAATTCCATCTTCATAAGTGCATTGTTCAGGCCCAAACCAAGATACTTTCAAAAACCGCTGCTGCTTGTCCTCGCAAAGTGCAGTGTTGCTATAAGTATTACGCCAGGCGTTTTTAAGTTAGCAACGTATTGAAATGTCACCTTCCAACACCTTCAACACGTACTTAAAATTGTTTTTTCTTATTTTTATTTTTTAACCATTTTATCTTACTCCGAAGTATTTTTGAGTTTCACTGAAGCTCCTTTATGTCGGCGAATAATACCTCAGTTGAAATCATCATATTTGCGGACCGAAGTAACTACTGTGCGTAATCGCCTTTAGGGTGTAAACTTTAAAAAATTAACAAGGAATGAGGTTTGCGTGTCGGTGGGAAAGAGCTTCTATTCGAACAGCCCAACGCGGTACGCATTACGCACGTCTTTTGTAACCGTCGTCGTTTCGTGTCGTTTCTAACGTGTCGATAAGTGTAGTGACTCGTTACAAAATAATATAAATAAATTAAAAACCGTAACAAAATTTTAGGAAAATAAAGAAGTCAGGAGCTAGTGATAATTCAGATGCTATATATAAATGGGTAAAATTATTAAATTACAAAGAAAGTCTTTTTTTTAAATATAATAAACGTGGTAATCTATTGTCACCAATAACCTAAAGTTGGCTTTTCACGATGCGTGATTTTACTCCCACGACGACTGCGGTGATACAAGCATCGTACAGATGTTCTTCTAATGGTGCGTGTCCATCTGTGTGGGTGCGTGATTCGAAACTATTTGTCATACCAAAATGACGAGTTAAAAAGAACGTGGTTCAATCACTATATGCTTAAATAAAAACAAAATGATGAAAAAATACCACTCTGGTATATCGGATAGACGTCTCGCACCACACCTGTAGTTACTGACTCGTGGTGAATACGACGACGCACCACTACGGACGCGTCTGCATTACCGCGGACGAGTCTTCTTAGGTTGCGCCGGTGGGAGGTCGTGTGTGATACCTACTTACCTTTACGTCTTTACTTTGATACTTACGTGCATAAACACACTTTCTCAAATCTCACATTACCATTCTTACACTCAAATACACAATCTCTCACATTCATCTCCAGATTATATGTAAAATTAACTGTAATATAAACTTAAATATTTAACATACCTGGTTATAACTGTTTTGTAATGTGGAAGAGCGGGACTCCTGATACAAGTAAATACTTACTTAAAAGAACTGCCGAACCTAGACTATTGTAAACTAAGTAAAATTAAATATCACTAGTGCAATTCACGGCTTTACGGAAATATTATATTATTAATTTACATTTGCTGAGTGAATACATTTAGGAGGGATCTTTCTAGCCCTCACAAAACCAAGACCCCAAATAAAAATGTTAACTTAATCTGATATTTTACCTTGATTATTGGAATATATACGTTAATTTTTATTTAGATTTAGATATAATAGATATTTAGAACTTTATTAAAAGCTGATTTAAGTTCAGTTATTATTAGCAGCAGTAGAGCTCCTTGTGAAAGAGTTCGTCCAGGGAAGTACTGCCACCTTACCTATTTCTGCCGCAGTTATGTCAGCATTACTGTGTTCCGGTTTTGAAGGGTAAGGGTGCTAGTGCAATTACAGGCACATGGGACTTGTCAACTCATGTCTCAGGGCGACGGGCGCAGTGGCAGTGCCCCTTAGATCTTTGCGATTTAAAGCTCCGAGTAGCACTGCAACTGTTATGGACAGGCGTGTAGCTTACCATCAGGCGCATGACTTGCTCGTCCCGTCACTTGATATTATTAATAAATACATGAATTCCCTTATATTACGAAAGAAATAAGCTTTACGAGGTTTCACAAACACGGTAACGTTTCAGGACGGAGCGCGTTACAAAAACAAAAGCAACGCAGCTGTTTTAAAACATTGCTCGAATTTATGCTTAGGCGCTTAAAATGTTGCTCTATTCCACCTACCACTATCAATGTACCTTATTAAAACTGGATAATTATACTAGATAAAAGGAAATAAAAAAAAATTACATGTATCACCTTGTCGGCAGAGACGACTGGGGCATAGGCGGCAAGTGGGAAGTGAATGCGCGGGTAGGGCACTAGGTTGGTCTGGAACTCTGTTAGGTCCACGTTCAGAGCGCCATCGAAGCGCAGCGAAGCTGTTATTGACGATACCACCTGCACCATTTTTAAAATAAAGTTTAATAGTTGGGTGTTAAGCGAGAGAGGTATTAAAAATGAAAAACAAAGACATTTAGAAAGTCAGTCATTTTGGGAACAGGCATTTTTGAGGCTTGAACAATACGTTGAGTAGTACATAATGATATTCCGACCAAACCAGCCGGATGGATGTGACAAGAACAGAAAAAGAAATGCTTCGAAGGTTTGGTTATGTACAAAGAATGGATAGTATAGTTAATAGATTGATGGAATATAAATCCTGAATGCAGGTAAAAATGTCAGGAGGGGTAGATATTGACGTGCATATATCAATCCGATTGGGGATGTCCTTAAAAAGGTATAACCTTTAAATGGGAAAGAGACCGATGTGAATGGAGGTGAAATAACTTTGTCAGTAGCGTTAATCACATGCTCTCCAAATGACCTGTGGAAGCCGTGTATATAAAACTGGTTTTTCCGGATCGAAAACCCCATACATTTGACTTTTCGAATTAACGTTTAAAGCTCTTTTTACAGATCCTGTGGCCACAACCGACTTAAGCTGACTTTGAATCCGGAAAAAATAGTTTCATAGCCAACGTTTAGCAATTGGGAAATCCTAAGAACAGTAATATATATGTAAAACATTTAATTCTACTTAAACATACTTGTGAAATAAGCCTGTTTAGATTGGCGTACGAGGGTCGCTCTATCGAGAGCCGTCTTCGGCAGATATCGTAGATGGCCTCGTTGTCCACCATGAACGCACAGTCCGAGTGACTTATGGTAGCGTGTGTGGTAAGAACCGCGTTGTATGGCTCTACTACTGCTGTGGACACCTGAATGCAATGAGAAAAGATTGTGTCTGGACATCCGAATGCTGTTGAAAAATTCATCATAGAACGCCTTCCATTGAGTTAAAGAAAACCTATTGAGGATTAAGATAACACCGAAGATGACCTAGGACATTTATTATCAATAGTATAAAATTAGACCAAAGTCACACTGACTACAAAAAAAGCATGCTTGGATTATAGACAAGAGGGATGAAAACATACTTGTGGGGCGGGATATATGGCAAATTCGAGTTTGCTCTTCTTTCCAAATTCGTCAGATAGTTTTTCCATGAGTAACGAAGTAAAGCCGGACCCAGTACCACCACCAAACGAATGAAATACGAAGAAGCCCTGAAACAATTTTGTTTGCTTCGTTATATGTGTGGAGTTTCATATGTATAAGTGACAATACAATTAGTACAACTGTCCGCGACACTTGGTTATAAATTTAAAAAAAATACATCAATGACTGTCTAGAAAAATTAGTACTAAACGTTACCTGAAGCCCGGTACACTGGTCAGACAGCTTTCTGACTCGCTCCATAACAGGTCCAAGAACGTCACGCCCGGTGGTGTAGTGGCCGCGGGCATAGTTATTCGCTGCATCTTCTTTCCCGGTAATAAGCTGCTCTGGGTGATAGAGTTGGCGGTATTCACCTGAGCGCACTTCATCTAAAAACAGTGAAGTATATTTTACTATTGAAAAATGTAAGTTTTTGCCATAGTTTTTGTATTTTGAATTACGCAGTTGACAAATTAAGCAGCACTTGAAAGTACCAGTACCAGCTCTTTCGTCTTATGCTGCGTTCGTTAGATGTTGAAATTGGAAGAAAAGTTTAAGACCGTGATGAAACAAGAATTGTCGTTTCACCGTACTTCATTTTCGATGTACAAATTCACCGAAATCATAAAGTTTCCAAATCTTACCAATAACAGTGGCTTCCAGATCCACCATAACGACTCTGGGTACCATTTTTCCTCGGTCTGCCTCAGAAAAGAACGTGTTGAAGCAGGAGTCCGTGGCGTTGGGGTCCGATTCAAAGTAAGGCAGGGTTCCATCGGGGCGGATGCCATGTTCTAGGCAGTATAGTTGCCAGCATGCCACCCCCATCTGAACGCCGGCCTGCCCAACATGCACCGAGATGCACTCCCTCTGCTCGAGTAAAAAATGGAAACACGTTATTGCTCTTTGTGATAAAGTGTTAGTTAGAACATTTTATATTAGAAATAATATATGTTCAATAAAATTTTCTACGGATGATGATATGACGAGATGACATGACGACCTATTTACGATACTTACATGGAAATCTATTTCAATTAATTGTAATAAATAATAACTTAATTGTAATAAATAATAACTATCACAATATGCATGGAATTCACAACTTCAGTATAGATCCTTCATAAATATTTAAAAGTGTAACGCAAAAATTGTCCAATCAGATATGCCATGAGTCTGAACGCAGCAGACACAACTATGAAGGTAATAATTATACTCAAAGTATTTTCCATCTCGATAATCTCGATATTGTGAACACTAGGTTTCCTGGAAAATGAAACTAAACATATGACGATCTCAATTTGACAGATTTGATAAAGGTTTTTCGCTTGCACCTTTTCCACTTTTGAAATTGAAAGCTCCACAGATGTCATTGAAGGATAATTTGACACTTCAGCATCTTACGGCTCAAATATGATGAAATTGTCAGTGAAGATGGTACATACATGGAGATGAAAATGTTCTATCTAGTCCTACTAGACCATCGTTTTGACTGGCTCTAAAAACTAAATGTAAAATTTAGCAAGAAAAGTATAATTTGGGTACCGGAAATTTCGTTGTTATATATTTTTACCACACACCAGACCAATATGAGCCCGTGTCTATTTACTACAGATATCTACTTGTATTGGGAGGCTAAAAATATTAGATTATTAAACCAAAAACACTTACCATAATGATAACTTGTAATTTTAACGAGACCGGCGTAAAAATAAATACAAAAACTGATTTCGTACAAAAATTTTGACCAGACTGAAATTTAGAAAAAAATTGCGAATCACGCCGATATGATCGGCCGTTTGGATAAAATTGTCTTTTTATTCCATATTCGAATTTTATGTTTTGTCGTCAGTCTTTGACTGCCAGTGTATGGGGTTAAAAACTTTTTGGAAAACGAAAGCTTTGTTCAGTCTATAATAGGGTCTTTTTGATTCATTTACATTTTGACGGAAAATAAAGCTCTCCTATTTGAAACCTACTTTACAATAAATTAAACACATAAATGAATTAGTCGTATTAGCTCTCAAGTTGAATGTTTCTATCTGTTAAAAATGAACTTATCTTAACAAGGTGATATAAAAAATCACTCTCAGCTCTCTTAAGAAATCATATAATTGTTTACAAATATCGAAGTAAAGAATATGTAACTGCTGGAACGTTGTGTTACATTGATCTTAAGTATTTATTGCTTTTACCGATCGTTGTTTTTAATTCTTACACAAAAATGTAAGGTAACTGTTTTCGACGTTAAAAATACGAGTTCAACTTGTTTTTTAATTGATAATGAATTCAGAAGATACCAAAAAAATCACAAAGTTTCTCAAAATATTTTTTTTACTACGTCCATTCAGTCGGAAAAGTCAGTTTCTTTTGATTTTTATCAGAGACATTTCAATGAATTTGTCAAGAGATAATGACGACGGTATAATGTACAATTGTTTGGACTACATAAAAGAATATATCGTCGGCTTATTGCAAGAAATCATTAATTGCCATATAAATTATATGGTAATTAATGACTTCTTATAATAAACCGATGGTATTTTGTTTCTACAATTACTTAAAAAAAAACGACCTCATAAGTTTACTTATCCACTTTCGCTGTATTTGTTATATGATGGTTATTTGCCAAGTTTCATTTTAATGTATATAACTGTAATAATAAACGTATTCATCCCTTAATTGACCACCCCTTGAGGTGGGATATTTTTGTCAAACATGAATGCAACCACTACTGATGTACCCTTTTTCCAACAAAAAAAGAATAATCGAAATTGGTTCACAGACATCAGAGTAATTGCATAAAACACACACAAAAAAAAGCAAAATACATTTGAATAGAGAACCTTCTCAAAAAAGGCGGAGGTCTTCCTTTTTGAAGTCAGTTAATGAATTTCTTCTCGTCTCCCTCACAAGCTTGGAAACCTACGCAACCACGATACCATTCGCATTAACATGTTTCAATTATTGTAAAAATTATTTCATCTAAGAATTCTGTTTTTCATAATTCGTCTTCTAAAACAGCAAAACCAAGTACATGGTATTACCACTGGCATATAAATGGTTTGCAAAGGGCACCAAGTGGGGTCCTTGGGGGAGGACCCTGCTATTACGGAACAATGGGCTGGACCCCTCGCGTTGTAAGTCAATTTGCATTTCTGCGCTCGCGCTTGTTCCAACCTGTCTAGGTTTAATAAATTTGATTTCTTTTTGTATAAATAGTGTGCGGTAAAATTTCGGTATCTAAGATAAGCAGAGCGTTGTAAACTACATATAAATTATCTAAGAAAAGTAGAGCCTTGTAAACTACACGTAATTATTCAAGTACTTAGGTTTTCGCGATTACATAGGAATGAAACTATTTTTTTTTCAGTTGTAAATCTCGTACGTTTGTTTTGTCAAAGAAATCGCCATTTCGGGGCCTTTACAGGTCACGGCTGACTGACACAGTTAAGTTATCAAATAGTTTTCTAAATTATCTAAGATTAGCAGATCTTGTATACGTCACATAATTATGTCAACTCAAATAAGTGAAGCCTTGTAGACTACACATAATTAACTAAGCTAAGCAGAGCCTTCCATACTATGATATTTGACTTGTTTGTTTTTGAAATGAAATTTTACAAATATAAATGGCGTATCTATATTTGTTTTTTAAAACAGACCAAGTGTTTGTGTAATAACACAATAATAATTTACTAATTATTATTGTCTGTTTTTATTGTGTTGCTTATTAAAAAAAGTGTTTTTAATTTTATTTTCCAATTTTGTAAATTTTTTATGATACTAAATAACGGGACGAACAAGTCTTGGTGGTAACAAACACGCTTGTCCATGGCAGTTCCAGTGCCACTTAGAGCTTTAAATAGCAAAGATGCTAAGTCACAAATAGACAAGTCCCATGTGCCGGTAATTTCACCAGCAGCCTTACCCTTCAAAACGGGAACGCAGTGGTGCTCAAATAATTGTTTGGCGGCAGAAATAGGTAAGGTGCCAGTACTTCCTTGGAGGAACTATTCCACGAAGAGCTCTACTGTAAAGTTGGGAAAACTTTTACGAACTCGGCTTCCAAAATTCTCAGTTTCATCAAATTTTTGCCAGCATCCCTTACTATATTCACATGTCTATCGAAAGTATGCAAATACATCAACAAGTTCATACATAAATTCCTTATCATCACGCCTGTTTCGTTACATGTATAGGTTTTGTAAAGGTCTATTTTGAATATTTAATTGCGTAACATTGTCATTGTGGCGCGTGCAAACAAACCGTGGAGTGGCGATGTAATCGGTTCGACACGGCTTGCGTGGCTGAATGGAAGAGTTTTGGTTATACGGATGTTAAGGTAATTAATGAGAATACTTTTTGTCTATTGTGACTATTTTAATTTTTTTATGATACTCAGACGGGACGTACAAGTCGCGCACCTGGAGGTAAGGGACACGCCTGTCCATAACAGTTGCAATACCACTCAGTGTTTTTTAAATCACAAAGATCTGAAGGGCACAGCCACTGTGCCCGTCACCCTGGGACATAAATTGACAAGTCTCATGCGCTTGTAATTTCAGCAGCACCCTTACCCTTCATAACCTGAACGCAGTAATGTGAGCATTGTTGCTTGGCGGCAGAAATAGGTAAGGTAAGATGGCCCAAATACCGATGGAGGATGGTGGACCAAATTAAGGGATGAATCCGGCTTCGCACACTTTCCGGTGACCGATTTCAATAAAACTTTCTGTCATGTTATGTCCATCACCATTTTATTTAAAATAAATTAAATTTTCATAAATACATAGTGACGCTAGTGTAAACATGGTTTTCCATCGGCGAAGCGAGACGAGGCGAGACGAGAATTGAAATCTCGCCGACCTATTTCCACCAAAAATTGCCATTAATAGCTCGCGTGGTTGTGAGTAGTGAAGATTCAGTGCTGTTCAGTTCGTCTAGCAACAAGCACGCTGTTGAAGAAACTTGTCCCGTAAATTAATATTTTTAAAAATGTTATCGGAAGAAGAATCAGATGAAGTCATCTTTTACGATATTAATAGCCATCGCGAGTTCGCGCGAGAAATTGTGTTTCCGTTACAGAATATAATACTCCACGTAGGCATTAATATGGTTCAATATTACGCCAACTAATTTTTCATCTCTCGCCTGTTGATGTAATTCCACTTCCTTTATTTTTTTTCTATTCCACGAACTATTGCGGTCGGTATTTCTTTTTATAAAAAAGTTATTTTCGGCTTTTACTTAGACTATAGAAACCAGCTCATTTAGCCAGGACTTTTACCTACCAGCCTGTCGCTGTATTAATTGTAATATTGATTTTTATTGAACATCAAATGATGTTTATTTTATTTGTTTTGTTATAATTATGAAAACGATATTATTACAAAGAAAACTTTCTTCCATCGGACTGTATTGGAACCTGCGTCTGTTTGCTATTCTCTAACTTAGGGTTTCTTAACCTGTGGTTCATGGACCCCTAAGGACCCCTGCCTAACATAACAAATGCTTTTTATAAAAATTGGTATACTTGAAATATGTTGTGGTTAAATAGGTACTATGCCCGTGACCTTTTTGAATTTTCGCACCCGAGAGACGATCAACCGAGACGCGCGTCAATGTAACCCGAGAGCCTTTCTTCTTCTTCATCTTTTGCAGAAAGGGTTCTTAAGTTCTTTGACATTTTGAAAGCGGTCCACGACTAGAAAAAGGTAAAGAAACCTTCTTCTAACTAGTAAATCACAATCAAAGTAACCCAATACTCTGCAGTATTTAACACATTTAGTTTAGATTTAGCCTGTCTCTGGTGGATTTTGACAAATAACCGCCGCCGTCACAAAGGGTAGATTCGAGATAAAGTTATTATGGGAGATGCTATCACTGCGATTACCCTTAATGTGTTCAGATAACATC